CATCTCTATTCCCTTCGTATTTCAATCGTAAGAAGGGATTTTCATTTGGACATTTCCCAAGAATCGCTACTTTGTGGAACAAACTTCCGAGAGGATGCTTCACGATTACTACAATCTTGGTCTCTACAAATCTAGGATCAATCATTATCTTCCCTACATAACCTCATAATCTTCACATGTTACCTCTAACTCTAATGTTTAAAAAATGACCTCATTCAGTAACCGTTTATCTTGAGTTATTCTTGAGCCTTGTATTGGATGAACAATTAGTAAAGAAAATAAATGATTTTAATTGGTACCTGGAAGGTAGCTGTCACTTGGAGAAAGGAATGGATGAGTTAATAATAATAATAACTAGCAGTAGAGCCCGGCGTTGCCCGGGGATGTAACAGTAAGAGATAGATCAAGTATCGACCATCATAAAGACTGAAAATTAAAATTGACAAAGATTATTGTTTAAGGTTGACGGGCACGCATGTCTTAATTAGTTTTTTTTTTTTTACGAATTGGTCAAACTCAAACAAAAACATTGTTTTCAATCGTTATGAGTCTACCAATTGAATAGAATTTTATTATAAACAATTGTCTTGTAAATGGAATTTTTAAAGCATTCTGTCTTAATTAGTTGTTTTTCTTTTTGTTTTTTTCAAACAAAAACATTGTTTTCAATGGTTATGAGTCTACCGATTGAATAGAATTTTATTATAAACAATTGTCTTGTAAATTAAATTTTTAAAGCATTCTGAATGTAAAAATAAAGAAAAAAGCGTGCAAGACAATAAGAAACACTACCTGCCAAAAAAGTGAAGTTTTGTTGAAATCGGTTGAAAAAATGTAGGAAATCCGATCCCATATATAAACGAACACACACACACACACACACACACACACACACACACACACACACACACACACACACAACCTGGGTTTTATAATAAGTATAACTCGATATGATTTGTCCCTCTTTCATTCTCCCGATGACTCTAAATCGTGTTTTCAAATTGATTTCGTGCAAAAACAATTCTGTTTTTTCCAATTTTTGGCGCTGTCAGAACCACCGCAAGGTAATGTTAAGTTAGTCCTGTGAAGTTTTGTTGGAATCGGTTGAAAAATGTAGGAAATCCGATTCAATATATAAACGTACACACACACACACACACAACCTGGGTTTTATAATAAGTATGATAATAGCATACATTACACGTGCAAGGGCCAATGACATGTGGGATTCATATCACTACGAGGTGCCACACTTCATGGAGTATTTGTGTATTACATTTGCAATGTTATACTTCGCACATTATAAAATATTAAGTTAGGCTAACTGGTAGAAGAAACAAACTGATAATTTGCAGGTCTTAAAATTCAACTTAAGCATCGAGTGTGTGTGTGTGTGTGTGTGTGTGCGCGTATTTCTGTGTCTAATAAGTGTCTCATTGCATCAGAGAATAAAACATTAACCAAATATTGTAAAATGCCTTTATTCTTCTGAAATAAAGTAAGAATTTTTCTCCGTTTTTAATTTGTAACAATGAATAATCATCGTCGTTTGCGTTGTTAATTATTTTACCTTTGCTTGTAAATGTAAATTTGAGAATTGAGAGAATATATTGACATTGTTTTTAATTTAAGTAAGTTTAATGTACGAGTCACCAACTCGCCATTCGTTAATACATTGTTTCTCTAATAAAAAAATCCTAATATTTTAACCTCAAAGAGAACAAGCGATTCTAATTTTCAAATTAGATAACAGTTTTTGGACACGCAGTCTATTTTAATTCAGTTCATGTTTTTTTTTGTTAAAGATTTCTGCGTTGATGTATATATTAATAAATGAATTCATCAACATGAGGCATGCACTTTTCTGTTATAAAAGACATAGGTGCAAATTACATCTAATGAAAAAAGAAACATTCGAACTCAGAAACTAATTTCCTTATTTAAATAAAGCTAAAGATATATCACGAAGTTGAATCATTAATGAATGACAAGTTCTTTGCAAAGAATGTGGGTATTACCCTCTTTTGGTCTGCCAAGACGCCGTTAGGTGGCGCTTTTTAAGTCCTACAAATGATTGGGCCTATATTTCTTTGTTTTTTTCTCTTTTTCCTCCTAGCAATAGGTAGATAGCAACACTAACACGGGACTCGTCCCCACTGGGAACAATATCTTCCCCCAGGTAACTTATGACTGAATTTTACACACACATGTGCATAGATGCACACATTTATTAACAGCTAAGTTTAATCTGTTTCATTTTTTCAGTTGTATTAATGTATTTCTTCTTTTGATGTTTATCCTTTGTCAGTTTGTGTAATAAATACAAGAACATACTTCCGTATTGAAATTCCTTCTGTTAGTTTCAACCGACTGTGAATGTATATTTATTGTATAAAAATACAAATAAGCCACAAAAGAAAAATAAAGTTAAAAGTGAGGGTCGTCCTTCAGTAGTGCTATCGCTAGCTACCTTCGCTCGTCTCAATCACTGATTCATCCGCTCGAATATTGTCCCTTTCCCCAAAACATTCCATTTACACAAAACATTCCCATACAGACACAATAATGCTACATTTGCTTTAGTAGATCTTACCTAGTTCCATTTTTTACAGTCCTTGTAGGGTGGGACTGAAAAAATGAACAAATATAATATATACCCAATGTTTATTTAGAATAAAAAATATATTTACATGAAATAAACAAATTGGAAGTTAGTAAAGTGAACCCCCGCAGTCTGTTAACTGTCCGAAAAATATTGTGGAATTGATAAAAGTCAAATTAGGCACACATGCATTCACTCACATATTTAAAAACAATAAAAATACGAAACAAACTCTCGCAAAACGAAGTCATCACACAACTACCAGAAAATCGAAATCTCTGTTAACTAACGGAGAGGAGATCGGAATTATATTAAAGAGTAGAGGAGAAATAAGAAGGTCAATGCGCTTCCATACTCTCGCTAAGTTAAAGCTATATCTAACTGAAGAGAAAAAAACTAAGGTAGCCTATCAGAGGGAGAAAAATACTCATGCTAAGTTAATGTCAAGATGCTCTAAATTCAACCGAACCAATGGTGAAAGAGACAACCTCTCGTCGAATATCGATGGAGGGTTTCATTTCCTTTCCGCTCTAATTTTCACTTTAAGATGATACATAAAATAAAAGATCAGTTCAGAAGTTCTCATCTCTATCAAATTTCTTCTATCATGTCGTCTAAATCACGACTTCCATGATGTCGAGTAATCACAAGAACACAGTATTAACTGCGCCACCACATTGATACAGCTAGAAATGGCCTCGCAAACAAAAACGTTCCGCCCAGTATGTGTTCAAACAGGTGAAAGTAACAGACTACGCGACCCGCCTTAGAAGATTTGTTTCCTCACAAGAGATTAAACAATACTCGAATTAATTTATTTGTTCTGTGCACGGGAGTGTAAGAACGGAGAATCGGTAATGAAGAAAAGAGTAGATGTGCCAAGCACATATTCCGCATTCCCCTTTAAGGAAAGGTTCTCCCGAGACCACCAATGAAGGCCAAGGGGCCTGCGTAGACGACCGTTGCGGCCGCCGACAGCCAGAACCTAGGGAGAAATCACTGTCTTGTGTCAAGGGGGACCAGCAAGAGAAATTGGCTAAGCTAACCGAAAAGTCTCTATAATAAAATGCTCCGAGGTTAGCTAAAGAGAACTAAGGTCTAAAAATGACTAGATGTATATTACAACTAGGTTTGTAATATAGCCTAACTAAAAAGGGGATTTGCTAGTCCCTCCGACGTATTAACAGTGTGTAAGGAGCATGAATGAGAGGTCAAGGTCGAAATGACCTGTTCCTCTACCGGTTCAAGGATGGAAGGAGGAGGTAACTCCGACACAACCACACCAACGTTCAAGTGTGGTTTGCGCAGTTAAACGCAATTTTTAATGCAAGAAAGGTCACGTCCCAACATGCCCGTTACGCTTTTGTAGTTGAGAAACTTCCCTCAGATGTAGCATTAGAGGTAGCAGACCTCCTCAGTGAAGTGCCGGCGGAGAAACCGTATGATACTTTGAAAGATGCTATACTATACCGCACGGGCGAATCAGAGGAACGTCGGTTTGCACGATTTGTTTAACAACCTTCATTTGGGACACTATAAACCTTCCCAATTGCTTAGAAAGATGAAAGCTTTACTAGGTGACAATACCATGTCTGACACAGTCCTCCGTAAACTATGGATGGATAAACTGAGGCCACAAACATCACAAATATTAGTGTCACTTCCGGACGATTTGGACCTACAGCGATTGGCAGAAATCGCGGACAAAATATATGAGAATAAACCTCCGGGAACTGCTTCTGCGACACCACTACAACCTATTGTCTCTTCAGTCCGTGACTCACAAGAGTTATCGAAAATTAAAGATTGTATAGCCGAGCTTACCTCACAGTTACAAGCTCTACAAACCGCTATGCATCAGCAAAATCGCACACCCAACAATTTCAATAGTCGACCACGTCCATCACATCATACTTGGCGAAGATCACGTTCCACATCCAGAAGCAGGCCTATATTTAATACCTGTTGGTATCATTTTAAATATGGACAACAAGCGCGGCATTGTACGAAACCGTGTAACTTCGACATAAACGCAGCTAAGGATAACAACACACAGCAGTCGGGAAACGACTATCCCGGCAACAAGTAGAGACGTTTGCTGCCGGAGGGATGCCAAAAAGTCGTCTCTTTTACATCCGAGATGAGAACTCCGGCTACTTGTTTTAGTGGACACTGGGAACAAATTAGTGTAATACCAGCCAAGCCTAATATGTTGACTAGAAAGACAGATTATACGTTACAAGCGGCGAATGGATCTTCAATCCAGACATATGGTGAAACCTCTTTAACCCTAAATCTGGGATTTAGGCGATCTTTTCCGTGGGTATTCACGATAGCCCAATTTCGAACCCCAATCCTAGGAGCGGATTTCCTCGCCCACTTTAACTTGTCCGTTAATATGTCTTCCCTTTCTTTGGAGGATAAAACGACCAACATTACAAGGAAAGAAATTACATCTATTTATACGAGCACATGTATCAGCGCAACTCTACCTGAAGCCAACGGAATGCAGGATCTGTTACAAAAATGTTCTGAAATTGCAACACCATTCCGGTATACAGAAACCGTTCGTCACAGTGCTGAACACCACATTGATACTACGGGCCCACCCACGCATTCATTTCCACGGCGATTGAGGCCTGATAAATATAAACTGGCGAAAGACGAGTTTCAGAACATGCTGGACCTCGGTATAATTAGACCTTCTTCGAGTCCTTACTCATCTCCTCTTCATATGGTTCCAAAACCGGGCTCAGGAGCTTGGAGACCTTGTGGCGACTTCCGGAAGCTGAATGCTACTACAATTCTGGATAAATACCCCATCCCGCACTTGTACGATTTCGCAGTGGGTCTGCAGGGCGCCACAGTCTTCACCAAACTTGATCTGGTGAAAGCATTCCACCAGATACCAGTGGCCAAGGAAGACATCCATAAAACAGCAATAACTACTCCTTTTGGCTTATACGAATTTGTGAGAATGCCATTTGGTTTAAGGAACGCTGCACAATCTTTCCAACGGCTTATAGACGAAGTGCTGAGAGGTTTACCTTTTACCTTTGCCTATATTGATGACGTCCTGATTGCCAGTAGAAACAACACTGAACATCGTCACCACGTTGAACAAGTTTTCCAACGTCTACAGCATTTTGGCCTTAAGATTAACGCAGAGAAATGTATTTTTGCTGTGCCCTCGCTTAAATTTTTGGGACACGTCATTGACGAAAAGGGAATAACGCCCTTACCTGAGAAAATAGAATCTATTTCAAATTTCTCACAACCAACTTCACTCCGGCAATTACGCCGATTCTTAGGCCTCATTAATTACTACCGGAGGTTCATTCCTGGTTGTTCCCAGATTCTGATTCCCCTCACAGATTTACTGCAACAACAGCGTCAGAAGAACTCAAAGATTACCTTGGAAGGCGAATCACTGACTGCTTTTCACAGAGCCAGAGACGCTCTTGCCAACTTTACGAAGTTATCATATATAACCGATGATGACTCAATGATCACACTGACAACAGACGCATCAGGCGACTCCATAGGGGCTGTGCTTCACCAGGAACAGGGAGATGCTAAAAACCTATTTCGTTCTTTTTTCAGTCAAGCTAAACTCATCTCAGAAAAAGTACAGCGCATTTTCAAGGGAATTACTGGCAATATATTTGGCAATCCGTCATTTCCGTCATCTTTTGGAAGGACGGAATTTTGTGGTCTATACAGATCATAAACCATTAATTTATGCTCTGCACGCCAAGTCGGACAAATATACCCCAAGGGATATCCGACAATTGGATTATATTTCCCAATATACGTCGGATATCCGCTATGTAAAATGGGCTGACAATATAGTAGCTGATACCCTATCGCGATCAACGATACAGTCAATTGACGCACAGACCTTGAATTTCGACTCCTTAGCGGAAGAACAAAAGACTGACACTACTTTGGAATCAGTAAAAGAAAAAACGTCACTACAGTTAAAGCAACACCCTGTGCCATTTGGTAACACTACTGTCTATTGTGATGTAAGCACAGGATACTCTAGGCCCTATGTACCACCTTCTTTGCGAAAAAAAGTATTCGAACATTTCCATTTTCTGTCGCACCCTGGTCGAAGAGCGACTACTAAGATGATTAGTGATCGTTTCGTTTGGCCAAAAATGTCCAGTGATATAAAACACTGGACACAGATTTGTTTAAAATGCCAGCAAACTAAAAGACAACGGCATATCAAGTCTCCGCCTGGTACATTCTCTAAGCCTGATGGTAGGTTCACTCACATTCACGTTGACTTAGTGGTCCCTTTGCCCGACATTGATGGGTACCAATACTTATTAACAATAATCGATCGTTTCACTCGTTAGCCTGTAGCCATCCCTTTAAAAAGTATTTCAGCGGAAACGATTTCCAGGTGCATTCTTAGAGAGTGGATCTCTATCTTTGGTTGTCCTTCAATAATAACCACTGATAGAGGTTCCCAGTTCCAGTCAGTCCTTTTCAATGAATTTATAACCTTATTAGGCGTAAAGCACATTTCTACAACCGCCTACCATCCATGTGCAAACGGCCTTGTGGAACGATTTCATAGGCAACAAAGGCAGCACTAGCAGCAAGTGATGACTCCAGGACTTGGCTGGAAAACCTACCACTGATTTTACTGTCATTAAGAAATGTAGTCAAAGAGGACTTAGGATGCACTACAGCAGAACTTGTTTTTGGGAGTACGCTAACACTCCCTGGACAGTTCGTGGAAAAGCATACTCCTTCCAGACCGACTACCTATTTCGTCGAGGATTTTAAACAAAAAATGGAAAACCTAGCTTTTACTCCAACGCGTGCCCAAACAAGGGAGTTCTTTATGCCGAAAAATTTAGACAGTTGTGATTACGTCTTCCTGCGAAAAGATGCAGTTAGAAGACCCTTAACCCCCACGTATTCTGGTCCACATAAAGTAATTAATAGAACGTCCAAGCATTTTACTTTACTTTTGCACGGAAAGCCTAACACAGTGTCAGTCGACCGGTTGAAACCGGCTTACATCGATTTATCTCATAAATCGCTTCCTGACCCTGAGCTAACATCTTCGACCCATCCAGCGCAGCTTGCACCTTCAGTACCACCCGCGGAAGTTACTACTAAGTCTGGCAGACATGTTCATTGGCCTAGTAGATTTAAAACGTATATTACATATTTAGAAAATTTTCTCTCAAAAACTTTCACAATCTGCGGGGGTTATTGTAGAATCAGATTCCTACATTTTTTTTTATCTTAAATTTTGTGCAAGTTAAACACATAGAGGCTCCCAGCCAAATATAACAACTGATGTATTTTGATTGGTTGTAAAATATTAATTAGGTGGCGTCAACTACGTCCGAAGGTACCGACCCAAATTTTGACCTCTAGTTGACGTCATAAAATGTAAACATGTTTACGAGCCTCCCCACGTGACCAAGAGAACTAATAAAAACGAAACTTCGACGCGACTTGGTCAGTGGGCACTTAAAATATTGAAACCAATTCACTTGACTTCATTGGAAATCAACACAGCAAAGGAGACGAACTTTATCTTCAATACAACGACAAACTTTGTCAACCATCTCCAGGCTTAACGCTCACTCCCACAAAATATTCCATTCCACAAGAATCTCTGGTTAATGAGCGATAACAATCAGTGAGTCAAGAACAATACATTTTTTCTATTTAATACACAAAAACATCTGTTTAATTTTCCTATAAAAACAAATATAGCTAACTAAACCTTGTCATTTTCACACATACACTACAGTAACTCAAATTCTTTCAGTAACACACACACACCAAAGAACTCTATTGTGTTTATCAACTTTTGCACTATATATTATGTATTTGTTGTGTTTATAAAAAAATATTTATTGTTGAACAAATTCACATTTTCTTCTACTTGATTATTTCTCTTGTTGTTGTCTTTGTTACATTTGATATTGTAAAAATTGTAGAGGGTCAGTTTTTATTTCTATTTATAACCTATACAAATTGGCTGACCCACTATAGAACTTTTAATAGAGTCTTCTAGTTCTGTCCGAGAGAATAGTTTGTTTTAATCTGTAGGAATCCTTCTACTCGGTTTTTCGTTGAATATTAAAATTTGGGGTGTCGGGATTCAATACATTAGTAAAATATCGTTACAGGGTCGCTCGTAATTTGGCCGCCTAGAATAATCAAACGCTTTTCATTGAAGGAATAAAATTCAGTAGAAAAGACGACGTAGTTTCAACAAATAAACATTGATTTAATATAACGATAGGAATACAAAAAGTTGATAATAGATTGGAAAGTAATGTCTTTTGTTTGGGTTGATAAAGTTCTGAAATAAAATATAAACTGTCTTTGTGTACGTGTGTGAGAAACAATAAAATGTTGTGATATGTGTGTTTGTATGAAAAAGTCAACATGTGTGTGTGTGATTCATAATAAAAACGGATACGAGAGATACGAATTGTTTCTTACTGTTGGCGGTGTTGCCGTGATCTGGAGTTTGTCAACGCTGTCGTTTTTGACATGAGGTCATGAAGGTCATCGGCGAAAGGTGTGTGTAGCTTGCTGGCAGCTGCGTGTATATTGTTTTGGGAACGGATTTCGTATATTTTTATACACTTTTTCCGAACAATTTCGGCTCCAGAATTAAATTATTTATTTATTTCTAATTGGCCCTAAGAAGTCACGTGGTATGTCTTCTACTACGTCCGTACGATATTTGGTCGGTATCTACCTAAAAATAATGATGATTAATACAACAAACATTCTGATTTGTAATCTATTATTTTATTGGTTTGTTTTAAGATGTAAGTGTTTTCTTGAGTGTGATTGGTTTATAAATATTGTAGTTGATATTTTAGTGGACACGACAAATCTACCAGGCTCTTTGTTTTGAAGTTTAATTGTATTTTTATGCATTTATTTTATAGTTTGGGATTATTTTTTACAATTTAAAAAACATTTTGAGAATGTTTCCCCTAATATATTAGTTATAAACTTTTTGTCCGTTCTCATGCTATTTTTTATTGAGAGATGTTTTACTGGTACACGTTGATGTTTGCCAACTATTTTATAATCATTTCCTTCTCTTTGGTTTTGTAGCAGAATTTACCAACTGTCCTTTTTGATTTGTGTTATTGCTTTACCTTTTGCTTATTTTTGCTGTTTCTATGTTATTTTGTGTTAGTTTGACTTTAAATCATTTTTCAAATTTTTCCAATTTGGACTTAGCCTCCTTCAAGTTGAGTGCTCATCGATCACTTCACTATTCTGCAGTATGATGGGGAAATGGCTGCTACTGCATGTATCGTCCTAAGCATTCAATGTAAAATCTAGGCAACTTGCTGTATTACACACCATAATGAATCTTTCCGTAATGTTTCGTTTTTGTAGACCACCAGATGGTATTGTAACTATTAAAATCCTCTAGAAGAATGAAGAGTTTTGGTAATTGATTTATTAGATCTTCCAGTTTATCTTGGTCTATGTAGTTATGTGGTGGGATTTCTGTGCCAAGTAGCTTTTACGGCAGCTGTCTGTAATTCTGTTTTTATTTAAATTTTGCTCTGGGGTACGTCATTTTTTATTAAGACAGATGTTCAGAGGCCGTGTTTCCAGAGTTGTAAATGTGATTCTATCCTTAACATTATCTTTTTTTAGAAATGTTTTTTGGATACAAACCTCAACCATTGATGAATTAGTTGATGATCTTCAACTTATAGTTTTTAATGACAGACGTCTTACTGCCCAGCAGATAGCTAAGTCCATAGGCATTATTTCCAGTTCGGTCCATACTGTTTTAACTGAGAACTTGGAGGTGAACAAGCAGTCTTCAAGATGAGCACCCAAAATACTGACACTGGAGCTGAACCTGAAAAGGGAAGACATTTCCAGGACAATTCTGACTAACTCCCAGGATGACCTTGAGAATTTTCACCGCAGATTAATAAATCAAATTAAACTTGAATTCCCCACTTCAAACTGAATGAAAGATTCAAAGCAAACAGTATGGATTCTGATTTTTTTAATTTTTTTTTTTATTCTGATGGTATAATTATGATAGACTACTTGGAAAACGGGGGAAAAACTATTAATGGATAGTACCATGTATCAGAATTAAGACAACCGGAAGAAAAAATCAAGTCGAAACACGGAGAGAAGCTGGAGTTAGGTGTGCTCTTGCTTCAGGACAATGCGCCCGTTCACACTGCCCAGATTGCAGTAGCTGTAGGAGCCACATGTGGTTTTGAATTGCTACTCCAACCCACTTACTCACCAGACATAGCTCCATCTGACTTTTTTTTTCTGTTCTCTAAACTCAAATCCCATCTGCGTGGTAACCATTTTGGAAACAAAGATGAGATCATATTTGCTATGGAGGTGTTTTGTGGGGACTAGGATACCACCTTCTACCGTGATGGGATTGCAATGCTTAAGCATCGTTGGACCAAGTACATTGATGTTAAGGGGCACTATATTGAAAAATAGTGAAAAAACTATCTTGTTTCTTCAACTCCTTTTGGGTGAGGCTTAGTGAGAGAGAGAGAGAAAGAAAGAGAGAGAGAGCAAGAGCAATATTTTGAAAAGGCTGGATGGTTCTCTTGACAAATCATTCAGTATCATGATTACAATCTTCCTTCACCTGTTCGGAGTCTTTTTACCACATTTTCCACATACCGAGTATCCACTGCACTTGTTATGACCATACTTCTGACACTTGAAATACCTCAATAGATTGGGGATGTATTGTTCAACCTCTTCGATCGGAAATTCACTTTTTATTTCTTTTGGAATTGATGATTTATTTGTTGATATCCTCTTTTTATGCATATCCTTCAATAGTTGGTGACCCCTTGTTTTTATAAGACTGCATTTATTTCCTTTGTTTTAGCAAAGAAGATCTCTATTTCTAATAATTCCCTTTGATGGCTTATGCCTTTAGTGCTGGTAAGCTTTACATTTTAAATTGTGGAAAGATTTTATTTTAAGCATGTTATCCACGTATTTCTTATTGCTCGCGTTTACCAGATGATTGCCACTTATTTTTTCACTGTTCAATGATTTTCCTTGTTGGTAATTATTTTTTCTATTAAGCATGAAAACAGATTGGCCCAACGAGTTTCCTCCAGAAATTCGATTATGATGAATCTAGGAAATTTCGTTCCGGCTTCAATATCAGAATCAGAGTCAGAGAAATTCCTATTTTTTTTATTTAAATTTGCCATGTGATTTATTCATTATTACTATGCTGTACTACCTACCACAGAATCCAGTTACTACTGGGAATTTACCAAGGGTGTTAAACCCATTTACGAGGATACATCTAACAGTATACTCTTGACGTGAGAGTACTTTGATCACCTTGTTATATTGAGGTTCCGAACCCTAAAACCGACGTCTTAATATGAAACAGTGATCAAAGTTGCGTTTTCTTCGACTCGATTGACTCTCAGCCAGGATTCTTTTTGTTTATTTTTTGTTAGTTCTATTTTCATTGGTCCTGTGCTCCAATTACTATTGGCAATTAAGGTAGTTAAACCCATTCGCCTTGATTGATATTGCAGTATCCATCATGAAAGAGTTTACTGTTTCTAATCGAATGTGTAGGAAATAGATGTTTGATATCATGTTAGATTGGAAAACCTTCAGTCATTTTCTCAAGCAGGGTATTAGCATGCTGGCATTGCAGGGAAATTGTTCACTTTTCCAGCTTGCCTTGGAAAGAAGGCTCCTGTTGAAGAATCGACACAGCTTTTACACCTGCCTCTGCCGTCGGAAAGGAAGTTCATTATAACCTCCTACGTCGCCTACCGCCTCTGGTCTTAAGTCAGATATCAGTGCACATCATCCCTTCTCTTCACAACTTTCGCCATTACAAAAAGGGGTTGTGTCACCAATGAAGTTGTCAGAGAGTAAATGGCAGCTGGTGTGAACAGGTGGTAATTACTGGACTGAAAAAAATGGGAATATCGATTGTTATGGTTCTGAGTGCCTGAGTCAAAATGCCTGTGATAATGAGGCTGGAGATTTGAAGACCAAAGATGGGGAAGTAAGAGCTGCATATTATGAGGATATGTAGGATAGGTAACAGTTGATCCTAGTTTGGTTTGGTTTGTTTCACGGCATATCAACCACATTGGGTTATTTAATGCTGACAAGATTTTTATTGCTGGTAATTTTTTTTCAAAAATGTATTGCTGGTAATAATTTTTCTACAAAAATCTATTTCTGGTAACATTTTTTCTTCAAAAATCTATTGCTGGAAATATTTTTTTCCAAAAACTGTATAGCTGTTTGTATTGTTGGTGATTTTTTTAAAGTATTGCTGATAATAATTTTTTCCTTCAAAAAGTTATTGTTAATAATTTTATACAAAATATTTCTGGCATTAAAAACCTATTTTTACACTTTCATAATGTTTTGACCCCAGTTTGAGGGTTAACTATTTATCCGTAGCTGAGACCCTAGCAAGTGCTACCACACCGGGTTAGGATGGACCTGGGAACACCAGCAATTTAGAGTTGGTTCCACGCTCCCCAAAACTTCCTGATCAGAGGCCTTGCCGTTGGACGTAGTTTATCGTATTACACAGGCAGGTTGAAGAGGTTATCATAATGATCAGGAAGGATCCTCTCGAGAATTTGTTTCACAATTAACATAGAGAAGAAGAAGCTGTCTGAGTGTAATTTCTTCCTTACCAGTGGTATACTAAGGAAATGGTGTAACTAAGGAATGTAGTTGATCTGAACATTTGTCCTGGAAATAGTGACAGTGACAAGAAGTTAGTAACATTTCAGTTTTGATTAGCTGGTTCGCTGTTTTTGTTTAGCAACATATCAACCTCTACGGCTTATTTAATACCAAAATTTACATATTTTGTGCGCATTTTATGGTTTCAAATACCGATATTTTGTACATAATTTAATACTTTCAGAGTAAACATATGTTTTATAGATATATAGTTATAAACCTAATTTTTGTACGGTAGGTCATTATGTTGAAGGTTTCAGTATTTTCAAATAGTTTTCTCATGTCGATTTCCTCGTAGAATTTATGTCTTACAGGAGCTAAGTGAGTTCATTCAGTTAAAATTTGTTTGCCCGTGAATGCGGCTTGGCATGTTGTGCATGTTGGTTGTATGAATGGATGAAATATGTTCAAAACATTTGCAGCCGAATATAACGTTAAATCATCCTTTAGAATTTTTTCTAGATAATGTTGGATGAAACTGTTTATTTTAATTTTTTGTCAAAATAAGTCCTTCAACTATTAACAAAGGTTTTGGGAAGAATCATTTTATATTTTAAATAATTCCCCATGTGGCTTCTCTATCCAAATATCACCCTTTCCATTCTGTGGTAGAATGAATAGAAATTTCACCAGCAGTGAGTTGTGAATTTTTTTTATATTCCTGTTGATTCAGAAAATATTACATATTTTTTTTATTATTGTTCCTTGAGATGAAGTCGCATACTATATGTATTGCACAAATCTCTGTAGAGAAAATTGAAATTTCATTTGGTATTTTGTTTTATTTTATTTTTATACACTACTGCACGTCCTGTTTCATTTTTCTATTTTGATCCATCTGTGAAGATGTATGAGTATCTAGGATAATTGCTTTTGATTTTTTTCTCATTCCTCATTGTTATGGGATCTTACCCATAATAATAATAATGGACTATTCCATACTTAATAAATACTGCGCCTCAGGAGTAGGCAAGGAGTCCGTAGTTCAAGTCGAGTCAAGATTCGAGTCAGAGGCAGTCCAAAACAGAGTCACGTTCAGACAATTACTGCCAAGACATTGGAATAGGGATACTGATCGAGACTACATTGTTCTCTCTACTAAACCTGATTGTTCATACTAAAACTTCTACTTCTTTGTATATATTCCTGTTTGTAATATATCTGTGTTATTCCATACCTGTGTTCGAGTTCTTCTTTATTGGTTCTACCTTAGGCTATCATCGTGGTACAAGGAACCGGATCATAACACTCATAGAATATAAATGGATGTGTATATGTTTTGTAACATTTACATAGTTTTAGATTTATTTAAGGTATTCTTATAGTTCAAGGTGGTATGTTTGATATGGTGGTATTATAGATTCTAGATGAGGTATTTCTGCTTCTTGAATGATGTGTTCCATCTGGAGTCCAAAGGTTTTTTCTTTTTTAGTGGAAGATATTTCTGTATTTTGAATCGAATGTGATATTGTTATGGGGTCTCCAAAAGATATAAGTGGACTCTGCCAGTGTTACTTGGAGTGCTGCCGTTAAATACCCAGATGAGACAGTCAGTGGGAGAAGGATATACGGAGAGAGAGATATACGAACGGAGATTGAGTGAGGTAACCTCTTGTAGAAGTTGTCTAGCAAGCACGTAACTCTAAGGAAGTCCTACTTCGAGACTGTATATATATATTTGTATTTGCTACTAACCGCGTTCCTGGATTTACTAACAGTATTATCCTTTGTATGATTGTGTAAATACATTTTATTTCTTATATTTAATTCTTGCGTTTGTCCTTCATTGGAGACCGAATTCATTTCGGAATCCATTAAACAACTATTAACGAAGATTTGAACACACTTGCGGAAAACAAAAAAAAAAACAACAAAAGAAAAATATTCCCTCGTCGTCCAAAAGGTAATTGGCTTCGAGTGATTCCAAACTCACACGAAAAAAGAAATAGAAAAATCCTTCCCTCGTCGTCCAACAACAAATTAGCGACAAACAATTTCGAGGATGATAAAATATAAAAATTGAGTTATCGTGGAAGATTTTAAAAATATATTGGTAGAACTGATAAAACACCAAAATGAGCAACAATTACAAATGCAAAAATACTAAAATGATCAACAGTTACAGCTTAAGAAAAAAAAATTTTAAAGCAAATATTACAAACGCAAAACAGGAAAAACTCAAGATATCTAAACAGAGCTCCAGGAACTAATATTGAAAATAGCGGGCAACAAGCAATTAGATATTGACAAAGAAGCAACATTTTCGTTCTTTCGCAATGTGGAATACCATAGAGATTTTCAAATATTCTCTAGATGAAGATAAAAATTTTGGAGATTACTTCAAAGAAGACATAAGACATCTTTAATGTAGACTGTCAAAATTGGACAGAAGCAAAAAAATTGAAACGTCTATTGCTTTTAAAATTAGGAACTTGAAGAATATACAAAGTTCGTGGATTATATCTTGCCAAAAAAAGACGAACGAATTAACATTTGATGAAGCTTGACATGTCTTAAAAGAACTCTTCAGCCCCAAAACATCACTGTTCCATAGGAGGTGGAAATGCCATAACCTGGTAAAGGGCGATAATTATATATTATTCCACGTTTGCCGCAATCGTAAATAAACATTGTGACGACTTCAAACTAGCAGAATTAACCCTTGACAATTTCAAATGTCTCATCTTTGTTCAAGGGCTAGTTTATACAAAATATAGCGAAATGCACAGAAGAATGCTTGCAAAATTACAAAATGAACCGGGTCTAATTCATTACAGCAATTATCGGAAGATTGCCAGAGATGTTTAATTTAAAAGAAAGACGCAAAGGACATTGAAGAATCAGCTGTTTTCTCATATACGTAAGTTAAACAAAAGTCTACGTTCTTCATTCTCCCCGGAAAGAAAACTAAAATTTTTACGACAATGAAAAAAGATTCTCACCCTCCGCGGAAAGAAAAAGAAAATTTTATGATAAGAGAAAAAGTACAACATACAGGACAAATTATGACGAATATCGAAACATCGATGTGGAGGATTACATTGGAACAAGGATTGCCGCTTCTGATATAAAAACTGTCTTGAATGTGGAAAAAAGGGCCACAAAGCATCCCAATGCAGAAATAGAAAAGATACTAATAGAATAAGAGTCACAAGGATGCATACCGATGATAACACCAATGTAAGGAAATATGTGGAACTGGAAATTTTAAATAAAAAGATTAAATTACAACTGGATTCGGGTTCCGACCTCACGATAATCAACTTACAGACATGGAAAAAATTCAACAGACCTACCATGTTACACACTCAAAAAATTGCCAAGTCGGTTACAGACAAACGAATAAAATTTGAGGGAGAAATAATAGTGAATGTTAAATTTCACGGCAAAACAAAAAAAAAAAACTTAAGATATACGTCATGAAAGATACTGAAAATTTAGTAGGTATCGACTGGATACAGAAGTTCAACGTTTGGGACCTACCTATCAACTCGTTTTGCAAAAAGTTAGAGATTGAACCATCAGATACTATAAAATTGAAGGAGGAATTATATAATCAATTTCCTGAGGTATTTTCAAGCGGGTTGGGACGATGCAACAAATTTAAGGCCAAAATAGAATTAAAAGAAAACGTCCAACCAATTTTTAAAAAGAAGGAAATGGGGTCCGTTCGCTACTATAGAAAAAATAGACAAAGAATTGGAGAGACTTGAACAAACTGGGATTCTATCAAAAACAGAGTTTAGTGAGTGGGCAGCGCCGGTGGTTTATGTAAAAAAGAAGTCAGGAGAAATTCGCGTATGTGCAGATTTTTCGACGGGACTCAACAAAGCAATAAAAGACCACCATTACCCAATACCGAGCCCAGAGGAGATATTTACAAAGCTCAACGGCGATAAGATATTTTCAAAAATAGATCTTAGTGAGGCTTATCTACAAATCCCAGTACAAGAAGAGAGTACGAAAATCCTTTGCATTAATACGCACAAAGGGTTGTACAAATTCAACAGACTACCATTCGGAATAAAAGTTGCACCTGCAATTTTTCAGCAAACGATGGACACAATGCTCACGGG